ACCCCAGGGCGCAAAGAGACAGGCAGGCTGGATCAAAGCTGGGTCCAGTGACCGGCTCTGTGACGGCTCCTTGTTTCGAGCTCCACAAGCCAACGGAGGGATTCCCATGCCTGGATCTAGTTTGTGAACCCCGGGACGAGATCCTGGGTTACGCAAACGACTGGTCCCCGGCAGCTTTGGCAGCCCAGACCCGGCTCCCCGGGGCTAGCGTGGGAGAACGGGAGCGAGACCCCGACCACAAACCAGAGCAGCGGGGAGGAGTCTCTGACTCACAGGGCTGGAACCGCAGAGAGAAAGGGGGTCTCCAGGCCAGGACTGAGGGGTGTCGGCCGAGCTGTGCCCACGGAGAATCTCCCCTCGCCGAGAACTTTGACGCAGCACAGAGCAAGCAGAGGTCCTGCCTTCCGAGCCGCTGTTTCTCCACCTCACTGAAATGCTCATCATCCTCCCCTTTAATACCTGGCATAGCTCCGCCCTTCCCCTTCCCCTTTAATACCTGGCACAGCACCTCCCTTCCCCTTCCCCTTTAATACTTGCACAACTCCGCCCTTCCCCTTCCCCTCTAATACTTGCATAGCTCCGCCCTTCCCCTTTAATATCTGCATAGCTCGGCCCTTCCCCTTCCCCTTTAATACCTGGCATAGTTCCGCCCTTCCCCTTTAATACCTGGCACAGCACCTCCCTTCCCCTTCCCCTTTAATACTTGCACAACTCCGCCCTTCCCCTTCCCCTCTAATACTTGCATAGCTCCGCCCTTCCCCTTTAATATCTGCATAGCTCGGCCCTTCCCCTTCCCCTTTAATACCTGGCATAGTTCCGCCCTTCCCCTTTAATACCTGGCACAGCACCTCCCTTCCCCTTCCCCTTTAATACTTGCACAACTCCGCCCTTCCCCTTCCCCTCTAATACTTGCATAGCTCCGCCCTTCCCCTTTAATATCTGCATAGCTCGGCCCTTCCCCTTCCCCTTTAATACCTGGCATAGTTCCGCCCTTCCCCTTTAATACCTGGCACAGCACCTCCCTTCCCCTTCCCCTTTAATACTTGCACAACTCCGCCCTTCCCCTTCCCCTCTAATACTTGCATAGCTCCGCCCTTCCCCTTTAATATCTGCATAGCTCGGCCCTTCCCCTTCCCCTTTAATACCTGGCATAGTTCCGCCCTTCCCCTTTAATACCTGGCACAGCACCTCCCTTCCCCTTCCCCTTTAATACTTGCACAACTCCGCCCTCCTCTTGCCCTTTAATATTTACAGAGCTCCACCCTTCCCCTTTAATATCTGCATAGCTTGGCCCTTCCCCTTTAATACCTGGCATAGCTCCGCCCATCCCCTTTAATACCTAGCATAGCTCTGCCTTTCCTCTTCCCCTTTAATACTGGCATAGCTCCGCCCTTCCCCTTTAATATCTGCATAGCTCTGCCCTTCCCCTTCCCCTTCCCCTTCCCCTTCCCCTTCCCCTTCCCCTTCCCCTTCCCCTTCCCCTTCCCCTTCCCCTTCCCCTTCCCCTTCCCCTTCCCCTTCCCCTTCCCCTTCCCCTTCCCCTTCCCCTTCCCCTTCCCCTTCCCCTTCCCCTTCCCCTTCCCCTTCCCCTTCCCCTTCCCCTTCCCCTTCCCCTTCCCCTTCCCCTTCCCCTTCCCCTTCCCCTTCCCCTTCCCCTTCCCCTTCCCCTTCCCCTTCCCCTTCCCCTTCCCCTTCCCCTTCCCCTTCCCCTTCCCCTTCCCCTTCCCCTTCCCCTTCCCCTTCCCCTTCCCCTTCCCCTTCCCCTTCCCCTTCCCCTTCCCCTTCCCCTTCCCCTTCCCCTTCCCCTTCCCCTTCCCCTTCCCCTTCCCCTTCCCCTTCCCCTTCCCCTTCCCCTTCCCCTTCCCCTTCCCCTTCCCCTTCCCCTTCCCCTTCCCCTTCCCCTTCCCCTTCCCCTTCCCCTTCCCCTTCCCCTTCCCCTTCCCCTTCCCCTTCCCCTTCCCCTTCCCCTTCCCCTTCCCCTTCCCCTTCCCCTTCCCCTTCCCCTTCCCCTTCAATACCCTGCTCCCAGGTAGCACTGCCCCCCCCCCCAGGAAGCGCTACTCCCAGGGCAGCCTGTGTGGGCAGAGACTGCCCCAGGCTGCTCCACCTCGGGCAGAGGGAAGCTGCTGCCAGCGCCCAGGGTTTGCGGGGACTGAGGTGCTGGGGGTGGGGAGGTGCAACAGAGGGTTGGGGAAACAGGGGGCTCTGCGGGACAAAAGAGAGGGGTGGGGGGGGAGAAGAGATGCAGGGTGCCCCAGCCCCAGGCACAGCCACCCCACAGCCTGACTCCAGCTATGGGCAGCTGACACCGCCTCAGCCGGCCCCAGCCTGGAGCAGCCACCTGCCGGACCACGCACCTTCCTGCCGCACAGCTCTGCAACGGAGCTGGGCAGGCAGAGCCTGTTTTGTGCGCGGCTGTGCGGGCGCGCTCCTCACAGGGATTCCCACGCCGGAGAACGTCCCCGAGTTATTTCCTGCTTGAAGTAGAGCGGATCTCTCAGAAACAATGTTCCGTCTTCATGGGTTAGTGATGCAGACTCCACTGTGGCCCTTGGTAAGTTGCTCCCGTGCTGGACCATCCCCGGTGTTCAAAGTTGCATCTCCTTATTTCCACTCTGAATTTGCCCACCTTCATCTTCCAGCCAGCGGAGCCCGTTAAACCTTTGCCTCCTCCCCATTTCGCTAGCAATGCCCAGTGAGGCAGTATAACCTTCCTAATCACAACTCCCCTGTTTAGGAACCCAAGGATCCTTTTCGGCCGTTGCATCACACAGACACCCCATGTTCCACTGAGGATCCGCCATGACCCCCAAGTCCTTTGCAGAATGCCTCTTTCCGAGGCCAGAGTACCCCATCCGCTAAGTATAGCCAAGCTCCATACGTCTACATTTGGCTCTACTAAAACATGCCTCATTTGCTCCTACCCAGCCAACCACCGGATCCAGGCTGGTCTGCCTCACCGGCCTGTTATTTCCATTATTTATCACTGATCTCAGCTTTGTAGTGTCTGCAAACTCCATCCGTGATGTCTCCTCCCAGATAATTAGTAAACAGGTGAGCCTGGCAAGCTCAGTTGGTAGTACATCAGACTCTTACTCTGAGAGTCCAGGGTTCAAGTCCCTGGTCAGGTAATAGAATTTTTCCACTTCTCTATGTTAATGCATGGCCAAAAACAGGTGTGCATCAAGATCCCTGTTCAAAGCTGATTCCCTGTTTACAGGCACATTTTGAGACCTATCCATTAGCCAGTTCTTCAGCCACTGGAAATGCACCTAGTTGGGTTTATATCACTCTAATTCCTTAATCAATGTGTCTTGTGGTACCAAGTCAAAGGCCTGATGGAACTCTAAGTGCCTTATTGCCTCTCTGTGACCTTTAGAACCCAACTTAGCAATCTCATCGATAAAAGGTAACGAGTTAGTCTGACAGCATCTGTTTTCCAGGTGCCCATGTTGATTGGCACCAATTACATTACCTTCCTTTCATTCTTTATTAGTTGAATCCATGTAACTCTTATCCCAAGCGCGGCACACCAATAAGTGCCGCTGGGTCCCATTTACCCTGTTTTAAAGAAAGGCACAATCTTCACTTTCTTGCCACCTTCAGGAACTTCCCCAGTGTTCCAAGACATACTGAAAATCCATGCAAATGAGCGGGAGTACATCTCGGCCAGCTCTTTTACAACTCTTGGATGCAAGCTACCTGGACCTGCCGATTTTAAAAGATTGAGTTTTAGTGTGTGATGCTTAACCTCCTCCTTGGTTGCTGTTGGAACAAAAAGCAGATCATCGTTTGAGCTGAAAATATCACCTGGCTTTTGTCCAAATAGAGACCAGAAATATTTATGGAACTCTTCTAGCTTTATTATTGTCAGGTCTGTCACTTTCATCCAGCAATCCCATGGCTAGGATTCCTCTGGTTCCTAATATACTTTAAAAACTCGATGTCTCCTTGTATCTCTTTGCTTTCCTTATCAATTTGCTCCTAATCCTAGTTTCTTATTAGAGTCATTATTGTCAACTGCCATTTCTTCCATTTTTTGTTATATAAGATTTTTATGAAAAGTAATTGCAGCAACTCTGTCAACTGCCATTTCTTCCATTTGTTATATAAGATTTTTATGAAAAGTAATTGCAGCAACTTTCACTTCATTCTGCTTCTAAGTCTCGTTAGTTAGTTAGTTAGTTAGTTAGTTAGTTAGTTAGTTAGTTAGTTAGTTAGTTAGTTAGTTAGTTTTATGCAGTACCTTCCTTGTCTACTGTGGAACTGTGACTTTTGGGGACGTGTAAAATATTCTTAAACAGTTCCTAATGATCATGCCCATTTTTTCTGTTCAAATTCTTTCTCTCAACTGATTTGGCTCATAATTGTTCTCATCTTTGTGAAATTGCTGCTTTTTATATCACCAGCTATACAGTGGGGCTTTATTCTGTTCGCATGTAACAAATGTGATCCAGTTGTGATCACTTGTACCTAAACTATGGCTCGTTTTTGTTTCCGTGACCAATTCCTCCGTAGCTGTTACGATGAAATTGAAGAGAGGATTCCCCTGCGTCGGAGGTTTAAATAGTTCCGAAACAAATTTGGCCAGATATTTTTTCAGAAAATGATGACATTGTGACTTTTCATTCCAATTCGGGTGAAAATAAATTTTGCCATGTCACAAGTACTTCTGGCACTGGAATTCTGAACTTTGACCATCTCTGAAAAGGCATCTCAGACAGGGTAGGCGAAATTCTGTGGCCTGGGTAATTCAGAAAGTCAGATGAGATGCTCATGGCCTTAATATCTTTGAATTGGGGAAGAAGGCACATGGTAAACTCATCTCAGCTACTGCACTTCTATGTTTTATTCCATGTCCTCTCCGCACCTCCTGCACTGTTGGGCATTTGCTAAATAATAATTGATAGCTAAGGACGGACCTGTACTTGCATCCCTCTGCCGAAGCCACGGCTCTGTCTCAAGGAAGCCGCTAACCATGTTTGTGTGTCATATTTCAGGGCCTCCAGGACCGAAAGGAGACCAAGGCAATGAAGGAATGGAAGGCGAACCGGGAGTCCCTGGTTTACCTGGACTGAGAGGTAAGAGACCATGTACAAAAGGCCTTCAGGAAATGCCCATCAACTTTGATGGGCTGTGGGATGCTGTTAGCACTACACAAGTCATAAATCCCAGTAACACAAAATGGCGAGAGGCCGACAGGAACAAACATTCCCGTTGGCTTCCCTTCCTCCTCGCGAGAGCAGGAGTACCGGCCCCCAGCAGGGGTGGGAGGGATGTGCACTCTGAGTTTGATTTAGTGGGTCTTAACTAGACCAGATAAATCAAACTCCAGAAGCTCGATCGCGGCAGCATTGATCTTCCGCAGAGTGAAGACAAGGCTGTAACAACCGTTGGGTGGGTTAGATAAATCAAACTCCAGAAGCTTGATCGCGGCAGCATTGATCTTCCGCAGAGTGAAGACAAGGCTGTAACAACCGTTGGGTGGGTTTGCAGAGCCCCAGCCCGAGCAAGTGGCCTTGCTGTGTGACCTAGAAGCTCCACTGGCCATCAAGGGACTTTATTCCCAGCTCTGCCATTGATTGGCCAGGTGACCTGGGCGACTCGCTGCCCCTTACTGTGCCTCAGTTTCCCCACTTGTAAGACTCAGGGTATAGCTGCCAGCCCGCCTAGGGGAAAAAAGAAACATTACATGAGGGCTAATTATTACTCCTAGCTGTGTCACCCTAGACGCCTCCTCTCCCCCTCGTTTGTGTCCTTCCACAGACTTAGGAGCAACAATCCCATTCTCGAGCCATGGGGTGCTGCGAGGCTGGCGTTCAGAGATCGCCACCTGGGAAAATCAGTGCCTTATTAGCTCGTGGACACATTCCCCTCCTTAGTCCCCTCCCTTTTCTTCTTCCTTTGAGCCAGGTAATGGGGGGGGCACGCCTTTGGGTGCACCACGTGCACTGCCCCACAGCGTGGGCACTCAGTTAGAGCTGGCGCATACAGGGCAGGCTCCCTGGGCCGTCAGCCGTCCCCACAGGCATCCCAGGGAGGGAGGGTGCCCAGGGTGAAGGGGAGGGGCGTGTCAGTCACCATCAGCCAATCACCGCCGTTCAATGCCGCCACGCCTCTGCCAGTGGCCACGCTGAGTTGGGAGCAGAGCTAAACAAACTCCCGCTTCTCTGTGTCGCCATAGGCACCCCTCCCCCATGCCCAGAGACACCCCGGGGGAGCCTTCATCTGCCCGTCTGCCGGCGTGGCCCTTTGATGAAGGGGAGGGGCGTGTCAGTCACCATCAGCCAATCACCGCCGTTCAATGCCGCCACGCCTCTGCCAGTGGCCACGCTGAGTTGGGAGCAGAGCTAAACAAACTCCCGCTTCTCTGTGTCGCCATAGGCACCCCTCCCCCATGCCCAGAGACACCCCGGGGGAGCCTTCATCTGCCCGTCTGCCGGCGTGGCCCTTTGATCTCCTCCCACGCCGCCTTGATTCCCTGGAGGAGCAACGTCGGGTACACAAACTAGCATCCGCTTGCCACGTGCCGGACAGGCCTGCGCAATTGGGGTTTGCAGCCCACAGCCACTAAACAGGCAGGAAACAAAGAGTTTGAGGGAGGAGAAAACCAAAGGCAGTGGGAACCAGCCGCACATGGGGTGCCGGAGGGCTGAGGAAGGGGAATTTGGGATCATGGGGGTCTTGGAAATCTGAGCCTTTCTTAGGGGTTACATGGAACTTTTTCAAGTTTCAGGGAACATCCTTCCCCCTTAATTTAAATGTAAACCAAGGGAAATTCAGCCACAGCCAAAAGGAAAACCTGTTTTTCCATCTAAGTAGACGTCTGTGTGTTGGCGGGACGGCTGAGGGCCATCGGGGCTGAAACAGAGAGCCCAGAACTCCTGCATCTCCAGAACCAAACTGAATCAGACCAGAGCAGTTCAGAGCCCCGTTGAGCGACCGGCCTGGCTGGGTACAAACGTATCCAGGTGTTTTGGGTCAGCCCAGTTCTGGCTTGGCGGGCCAGGTCTGCCGAGAGGTATCTTGCCCAGCCCTGGTGTATGTCCTAATATTTAATGTTGTACTCAGCCGGACAACTGACTTGCCCTTACTACAAACTTTTCGCAAATAAATCTCGGATAAATTTCAGGGTATATCAGAAAACCTGGGGCTGGCATTTTTTTATTCCCAAATTTGGTGCTTTTGATCAGGCACCTTCTGCAAGTCCAGTCAGCACAGTCTGGCATGCAGAGGAAAACAGGGTCCATTTTCTTTAGAACGACATTTTAAAGGTGTGGGGGTCCCCCTCCCCCATCTTGTTTGCTACATATGGGTTCAAGGATGCGGCTGGAAGGGGTGAGCAGGGAGAAGAGGGAGACAGTGAGGAGGGGTCAAGTATCAGAGGGGTAGCCGTGTTAGTCTGAATCTGCAAAAGCGACGAGGAGTCCTGTGGCACCTTGGGAGCGGTGGGGCCAGGCAGAATAGGGGTGGAGTCTGGGCTGGGCCACAGGGTAGGGAGTTTGCCTCCCCAGGCAGTAGCTACACCCCCCGCCCAAGGCCTCCTCCTGGAGCGGGTGGGTGAGGTTCTGCAGCCTGCGATGTGCAGCAGGTACCAGGCTAGGCGATCCTGCGGGTCCCTCCTGACCTTACATCTATGAGACTTCCCTGGCCGTAGTCCTAGGCCCTGAGGGTTAAATTCTCCCGTGCGGAGGGGTTAGCACAAGGCTCAGGCAATGCTTAAATCCCACGGACACCCGCAGAGGGGGCATTGTCCTTGTGCTAGCCCTGTGCGGGGGCCCCCCACCACCCCGAGAGCTGCCGGGTCCCTCAGCCAGCCGGGACACAGGCGTGCAGGGGGGGATGAGACACCCCGGTTCCCAGGCACCGGCTATCTGCAAGGAGCCAGGAACACATCACCTGGAGCGGGACACGGATCTTTAGGGGCTCTCTAGGGAGGCAGTGGGAGGGAGCCGGGAGATCGGGCCGCCTGTGGATTCCGGAGTCGGTAGCACCACACACTGCGGGGGGCTGAGGGGAGGCTGCCCCATCTCATTAGGCTGGGGGCTCTGCCCCGAGCCCCACCCCCAGGAAGGACGCTGAAATGTCGCACCTGGGGCTGGAGACCTACCTGCAGGCCCCGCCCCAGAGGCTCTGATTAGAAGCCTGGCTGCAGATCCCCACAGCATGCTGAGGGAATAGGGGCTGCACATGGGCTTTGTAGCACAAGCCCGTGGGCAGTTCTGCTCCGCCAGGGCCAGCGAGGGCATCTGGGTGAGCAGGACGACCGGGTGAGTGGGTGCACTGTCGCTGGGCTCAGCAGAGCCGCTTAGCGTGCGGCCTGCGGGGTTCCTGCTCTTGCCAGCTCGGCTTCCAACACCTTGTCTGCTGTTCTTTTCCGATTCAGGGCTCCCTGGAGAGAGAGGGCCTCTGGGACCGCCCGGCCTGAAAGGAGACCAGGGAGACCTTGGCCCATCTGGCCCCACTGGGATGCGGGGCTTCAAAGGTACCGTTCGGGGGTCATGGTCCAGCCGTGCAGCAGGGGGGTTCTGGGCAGCAAGACGTGTTGGCTTTGGCGACCCCTGCTGGCCAAACACACTGTTCAGGGATCATGCTCCGGGCGCAGCAGAGGGTCTGGTTCAGTCCAAGATGTGTTGGCTCTAGCGACCCCTGCTGGCCAAACGCAGAAGAGACGATAGCTCCGTGCGCCCCTCCTAAGGCCTGATTAGTAGAGGGGCTGAACACCTGCTGCTCGCCCTTAGCTTCGGTGGGAACTGGGAGTGCTGAGCATCAGGCCAGTAAAACCTGGGCTGAATGAGGCCAAATCCAGGCCAGGATCTGACCGATTCTGCGTTCCCATAAAACACCACTGCCTTCCGGGGATGCTCCGGCACCAGCACTGACACTGACTTCCTGATCTACCCCACCCTGGCCTTCTGCCTCCTCCCTGCTCCCAGATCCTGAATAATCCTCCCCCGCCAGTCCCCAAAGGCGCTTTGGTTTCTCACTGCTGCGTCAGGGCCCCAGCCTCGGGTTATCCCAGGCAGCCCCCCCCACCCCCCGTGTACGCCAGGGGCTGAGCTCAGAAACCCCGAGTCGCGAAATCCAGAAGGCGAATTGCTCTGGTCTGGAGTTTGGCAGGGAGAGGGTTAAACTCCTTTGCCAGAGAAGGGGTAACGGGGGTCTCCCCTCACTGCGGGGGGAGCCAGCGGGGCTGGACTCCGAGGGGCCCCTTGTGCCATCGAAGGGGAAGGGACCCTAAAAAGGGAGGAGCCGGGGGCTGCTGTTTGCTTTGGGAGCGGAGCCGTCAGCGAGGATGAACGGAGGAGGGGGTGGGGAGAGCCTCTCTGGAGGAAGCCCCCAATCCCCCTGCACCCCCGTTCTGATGGCTAGCTCACACCGCCCGCTACGCAGGGACCTTTTAGCGCCAGCGGTTCTGGGGGACTTGCTGGCCCCCAGTGCTGTCTACACCAGATACCCACGGACCAGTGTGCTCCCTCGGGGCCTGGTAGCACAGAGCCGGCTTTCCCTCCTGGAACGGCATCAGGCTTTTTACACATCCCTCGGGACGGGAGGGGAGGGGAGGGGCATTCTCACGAGCACACTTCCTCGTTAACCTCGGCCTGGGGCTCTTTTTTTGGTCCCTTGCGGTTTGGAAGAAGCTCGCTCTATCCCAGGTTAAACCCAGGTGTGAGCTCACGGAGCCGAAACCGTTATTTTGCTGCCATGGCTGAACTAGCATTTATGGTCCCGTTTTAGCAGAGGAAATGAGTAGGTCGCCTGTCTGAAACTTGACACACCGTCAACTTGAAAAACACCCGTAAGACACTGGTACGTTTCCAAAACATGCCCTCTCGGCTTCCAGGGGTATTTCTGTTAGCTTATGGAAGCCAAGAAAGAACAAAAGTCAAGTCTCCCAGTGCGCGTGTTTCTGTGTAACCCCGTACTGCAGCCCTAAAACCCAACATGGCTGCTGCGTTTGCAGGTAGGCGCCGCGCTTAGAGGCGCACAAGTGTCCTCGTTTCAAGCCAAAGGCACCCACAGAAAGGTCCCAGGGAGACCTGTTATTTCCTGCTTTGGGAGACGGGGCCAGGCGGGGATCAGAAGCACGGGCGGTTGGTGAAGGCACAGCTGGGGGATGCAAGCCCCTCAGCCCCACCTCCAGCCCCGCCCCTTCTTCTGAGGCCCTGCCCCCCATGGGGAAAGGAGGGGAGCTGCGCACTTGCCCCAGCCTCCCCAGCCCCGGAAGAGGGCGCGCCACGTGGCCTGGCCTGGCCCTGCCTCTCCAGCCCCAGAACATGGGGAAGGCAAGCGTTGGGGGTAGCAACACTCTGCAGGCGCTCTGGGGGCGGAGCGTGGGCGGGGCCATGCCTGGCGGTTTGGGGAGGCGGAGCCTTCCCCTGCCTTACATACCCGACGCCCACACTGAGGACACGCAGTACACACCTCTCACACAAATAGGCCGAAACCGAGCAATGGCCACAGTACCGTTTAGTCTCGTCTCTAAGGCCACGCCCACACAACAGAGAAGCTGGCCGCTGCCGATCTTCCGGGCTTCGAATGGGCGGGTCCAGTGAGGACAGGCGAATTCGGGCGGAGACGGGCGCTCCGTCGATGCCGGTCACCCTGCGTCCACGAGGAGTAAGGGAAGGCGGAGGGAGAGTGCGCTCCCATCGACTTCCCGCCGTGTGGGCGGCGCCAAAACTCGACTTACGCTGCTTCGACTTCAGCTGCGCAAGTAACGTCGCTGACATTGCGAATCTTCATTCGACCGTATCCCCCGTGGGGATCGGGGTAAGAGAAGCCAGGAAGGTGAAAGACGCCCTCTAGTGGCCACTTATGGAATAACCTGCCCTGAGGAGAAATTCTTCCTGACCCCAGAGACCCTGAGTTTATACTATGAAACAGGAGAGCTGAGAGGCCTCGCACATTTTGAGCTGTTCCTGCAGAGGATACTCGTGTCAATGTCCAAAGACGACCAAAGAAGAGCAGACGGGATTGCAATAGATGGCACTGACAACTTCCTCTCCAGCTCTGAGTCTCTCTAGAAGAGGGAGGGAAGAATTCCTCGGGGCTGGCTGTTTTCCAGCCAGGGAAGGCGTGGAGAAAAGTCTCCAGGACCTCCCTCTGAGCATGTCAGAGCTGGTGACAGGCTGCAGATGGAACCAGCCCCTCACCTGCCAGTCACTCAGCATGTGGTGGCGAAGCAGCCGGGGCTTTGCTGGCCGGGGAAATATTCAGCTGTCATCAATGGACTTAGCACAGGCAAGAGGGTTCTGCCGGTTTGCTGGTGTCACCCTCTCCTGGCCCATAGAGGAGATAAGCACTAATACGACTGCAGCTGAGAGAAATTCTCCATCAGCTGGAGTCCTCTTGCACGTGTGCATCTGAGCTGGTGCCTGCGGTGGGATCATTGTGGGTATTTGGCCATGCAGGAGCCCTGGGCTTTGATGGGTGAGATGCATCAGGCTGGAGGGACAGAACTTTGTGTAGCCGCATGGAGTGAGTGCCCCCTTGACTGAGTAGCACCGTGCACGTTTCGTGGCCCCCACGATGCATTGCGGCATGGCAGGGGAGATATTGGAGACTCAGCGTCCTGCCAACCTGTGAGGAGAGGTGGGCTTGCAGGCCAGAAGGGCAGTGCATGCAACAGGCAAGCAAGCAGAGGGCCTCCTGACTCTTCCAGGAAGATCCGGGGCACCACGATTTTGCCTTGTTCCAACCGTGTCACAACTCAGTGTCTGCTCCAGCCCCGGAGAGATTTCAGGAGGCTCAGATCATGACCCTCCGCATCCAGGACTGTCCTTCCTATAGAAAGTGGAACAGGTGGCTTCACAGCGGTGGCTTTGGCATCTCTGGTGACTGGGGCACGAAAGGCCGCCCCGAGGGACAGGCAGGGGGCGTGTGGGGGCACCCAGCTAGCCATTAGAACGTTGGCGGGGCATACGGGTGCGGTGCACCAGCCGCCTGCTACCCCTCGACACCTGGGCGTGGCAACCACGTACCAGGTCCCAGCCCGGTTTGACAAGTTCTCTGCCTTGCCGCCCCGACCGCCTCTGCTCAGCGTCTTCTCGCCTTCCCAGGACGCCTGCGCTTCTCGGGCCACGTTGGCGCTTCGCCTCGCCCGTGGTGCGAAGCCAGGCTGGGCAGCGTGAGCTTTCCTCGTGCGAAAGGAACCACAAGTCCGTAAGCCCCAGTGTGTCTGTGCGAGGCCGGGCTGGGCAGCGTGAGCTTTCCTCGTGCGAAAGGAACCACAAGTCTGTAAGCCCCAGTGTGTCTGTGTGAGGCCGGACGGAGCCAGCACTGGGCTGTGCGGACACAGCTGGCTGCCTTCTCGGCCTGCGCTCGGCTCGAAGCAGGAACCCTCGGCCACTCGCCTGCGGTGGGTGGGCCGATCGCCGCAGCCCGCGCCTCTTCCCACAGCGCTGCCACTCCCGGGGGCTTCAGCGCTCAGTGTGGCGAAAGGTGCTGGCGACGGGGTGGGGTGGGATGGGGTGGCACGGCCGGAAGCCGACCGCACAAACCGCTTTTCGGCCTCTCCTAGCAAGCCGCACGATGGCTCTGGGCTGCGGTTTCCTCTCCTTTCTGGGATGAGGGACGGTCGGTTTTTCTCATTGGCTCCACAGGCAAAGGGAATCGAGAAGCAAAGCTGAATTAACTTTCCTTTCAGTCCCAGGCTCGCACCCCCCCCCCCCCCCGCGCGGGGGGGGGGTTTTTA